TTTATCGCTGGATGGTTTATTTACAGGGAAAATCCATCTGTTTTTATGGATGATTTGGCGGTGTTTACCCCATGTCTGGGTCAAATTCCTGAGCCCAGACTGGGTGAACTTGGGCAGCTGACATCTGGTACCCATAAGTTCCAATGCCCATGGATTTCAATGGTTTTCCTGGAACAAAAAAAGAGGTGCTTAAAATTTCTTCTTAGCTCCCCATTCTCATCCATTTCCATCCATTTCCTGCGTACATGTCCCGATTTCTCCCAACCACGTCATACATCATCCCAAATCATACGACATCCATCTAGGCAAAATAATACACGATAATTCACCAACAAGAAACGCAATTTTGCGGTACTTATATAACCCAAGTACCATCATGTATGGGGTTTGATCGGCTTGGGGAGTGATAATTTACCCAGATTCATGGTGAGAAAGCGCACATACCTTTACAGTATATATCCCAGCTAGAAGGGGTCTGTAAGTGTCTATACAATCCATTCAAATTCCACTACGAAAAATATACACAGAATCCCAACTCTCCAACCAAAATGCTTCCCGATTTTTCAGCCACGTAAACCCCCCCTTTTCCGCAATGAATCGTCCCAAAAGACTTCGATCTCAAAAAATAGCAGCTGTTGATCCAAGATGTTTCCTATTTTAAAATCACTCTAAAAATCACCCTTCTAATCCATATGTTGGTGAAATCCCGGATCAAAATCAACCAAAAATCCCTCGACTTTAGTCCAAAAAAAGGGGGTTCAAAGCACTTTCAAAGTCATTTGCAGAATCCCCCAGTCGTCACCATGCTTGTTTCAAGTCATTTCAAGTCACCAAGTGGATCTTTTCCTAAAGTGGGATCCTCAATAGCTGGATTATGGGAACATCTCCCCCAAACAAGAGAACTGAATCATGTAAACGAAACTGGGGGGATCCAGTTGGATTTCGGGCTACCCCACTGAAACCTATGGAAAGCTCCAAGTCATCCCCTCCCCCCATCCCCCATCCCCCATGGCCCCCATGGCATCCACCCAGCAGCTCCGGCTTCAGCCGTGGCAAGTAGACCACCTCCTCCGCCACAGAGGACCTGCCACGGACGACTTTGGAAGTGGAGGGCGATTTTTCCATGGGAAACATCGGAAATTACCCTCTGGTAAATAAACATAGACCCTGAAAATCACCCATCTTTAATGGAAACTAATCTTCCAACCCCTATCTGGCAGGGTCTATGTTAATTTACTGGAGGGTATATTGGAGAGATTTATTGGAAAGACATGAGAAAGAAAAATATGAGGCATCTTAGGAACGATATTGGAGAGATATATTGGAAAGACCATGGGAAAATGATGGGAAAATGATGGATTTACGGATTTACTGAAAATGTCGGCATTTCCGACTGGATGTTGCTGAATTCTCAAGATGATGAAGCAGAAATGGGAGACGTGGAAAGGATCTTTTTGGAATTCCAGTAGTTGATTGAACTCAAAAGAGAAGCTGGGACTTGAGTTGTTTGAGCAGGAGGGAGAATTTTTCGTTGATTACACCAACAAAATACCGGGACGTCAGCGGATCCAGAAACAGGAGACGTTTTGGGGCCAACTACCATTAACCATCATTAACCATTATTAACCACTATTAACCACTATTAACCACTATTAACCACTATTAACCACTATTAACCATCATTCGATGGAGGTTCCAACAACAAACACCACCCTGGGGGTTCACCCTGATTTGATTCAGAGATTTCACCATGATCATCCAGCAGGTGACGGATCAGCAGGTGGGACCTAACCCTTTCACTTAACCGCCGTTCAGCCGTTAAACATTGCCCACAAAGCATAGTTTCGTAGGGGATGAAACCACAGTTTTGGTACCATAGAATGGGGGATTCAACCTGATTCAACCTCTACAAACCAAACGCAACCAACAACCATGGGCAGCTGACGGATCGCAAATGGTGAGCCCTTCACAATGAACAAATATATATATATACCTAAGTAATGTTGAATGACACAGAACGGTTATGATATCATTGAAAGATGGGTTTCTTGAGACTACAGATTGGACATGGTCATTTTCAGCAAAAATGAATGGCTTAACGTAGCATCAATGAAAGCTTTTTTGTTTTTCAGCAGGGACGCCAGGTGATTTCTGCAAAGACAAGAACTAGCAGTAAATTTGGGGCAACCCCTGACAATGAGGGCGTATTTGGGTCATCATGGAATTATATGGAATTGGAACCGCATGATAAACTGATTTCTACTTACCGAATTTCAAATAATTTCAGTACATGTTTAGCACCTTCAAAGCCATACCCCTGGATCTTCCCACTTGATGACTGGAAAGCTACCCCTGTTATGCTCAGCCCAGTCTCGCATTTCCATCCCAGGTGACTAGTCCCCGGATTCACTAAGAGTTCTGTCCTGGAAAATCACCAAACTGTGAAGTTGGGTAGTTGTCATTTTTTTCAAGTGGCTATCCACTTCGCAAACTGCAAGAGTCACTGGAAAATATGCAGTATATCAGTCAGTATATCAGTATATCACCATTTCAATAGCACGATTTCAATAGCTCCACTCAGCTATAGTTCGCATGCGAACAAGTGATATGGGGATGGGTCAAAACCTTTTTTTACCATATGGCTATGGATCAATACCTATACATACCATTTTACGGGGATGAACATCCATTTACCAGCTATTTTGATGTTCACCAGGGGGATAGGGTTTTGACCCATCCCCATATTTGGGGGAATAAACATCAACCAGCTGACTGACTATTTGGGTATCGTTTAGGTCCCATGGTTTTGATCCATTTTGATCCATAGCCGCCCTATCAACGCCAAGGTGCAAGTGGAAGCAAAACAACGTGCATGTCCTCGGCTCCAAAAAAGATGTGTCCTGCTTTCAAGGACCTGGGAACCCTGGGATATGCTGATCATGTTATCGTTTTAATCTAAAATGTTTTAGAATCCAGTTCTAAAACTCCAACAACTAAGAAATCGTCGCTATGCCTATGCAGAGTCGTTTTTTTCCCCCTTTTTATATCTTTTTATCACTGATTTATGTGGCCAACAACTGGGAAAATCCCAACCATCATAGGCCAAGAACTCCAAGGGTCTGTTCTGTGAGAGGCACGACATTGTGACCAATGCGGCTCTTCAAATGTTCCGGCGTAAACTTGCCTGGTCCACGGGGCAGCAGGGTGCTATGAACTTCACTGATTCACCGGAGCAGCCCATCCGATTGAGTTCTGCGATTGACCAGTCTTGGCTGATGATTAGTTCGGGGGTTCTACTACCCAATATACAGCCTAATATATGGGTTCATGACTGATATCAGTAATAGTAATGCACTTTTTTTCTTGGGTCAATCGCCCCTTTTTTTGGGGGTTATATGTCACAGCCTATATAGGGGATTAGCATTGCATAGCCCACGAACTTGCAATCCCCTTCTCAATCAACCAGGGCAACACTGCAACATCCAAGGCAACTACAACAGCTATTTTAGCGGTCGGTTATCTATGGTTATATTCCCATGACCGTTGGTAACAAATCCCATTTCGACAATACATTCATGCATTGGTTCAATCTCCATGTCTGCCTAGAGCCTCCGAAGCATGCCAAGAAAAAGTACAAATGGAAAAGAATGTGGTTTTCCCATGTGTGCCTTTTTTTTAGATGTGTTCCTTTCTTTGATCAGTTGGCATACAAGCAATTTTTGGCATGGAACTGACTGAGCTTCTGAGAACGCTGGAGTCAGGGAGTTAGCAAATGGAGGGAAAATTGTCTGGTTTTAACCTGAAGAAATGCAAAAACTTATGTTCCATGAGATTCTTGGATTTGTGATTGGATATGTTTGCCGGAAATCTGCGGAAATGTGCCAGAAACGTGCCGGAAATTTAGAGAATGATTCAGCCAGGTCTTGTTCATGTTTCTTAATGTTGTTGTTCATCTGGAGAGCGAAAAAACGAGTAAAGTTGGGAGTTGTCATATTTAGGTGCTTCAAGATTACTGCTTGTTTTGCCTTGATAGAGCTTCAGTATGTGAAAGAAAACAGCAACAACCCTTTGATCATTTTTCAGGAAATGTTTTTTATCCTTCTGTACCTTTTTTGTTGTAAAATCCTTTGTATCTTTTTATTTTGCGACATTGGGGTTCCAGGGGAGGGTAAAATCGCCAATATTGTTGCTACAACCCGGCAGCAAATATACAGTATATATATACATATGTGCGCCATTGGGGTTGCAGGGGAGGGTAAAATCGCCAATATGGTTGCTACAACCCGGCGGCAAAACATCTTTTCCAATACCCAGACGATATTTCAGTACAGTATCATATCATTCATATTATATATATATATATGCGCCAGCCTCTCCAACCCCCGCTCCCCCCCACACCAACCCCCCTGTGGTGGTGTATGTGGTGGTGGAGGGGGGCAGAAGTGTGTCTGCAGGTAGGTGTGGATGCAAGTATTCATCTCTTCCCCCTGTGCTGGGGGTATGTGGCAGTGTGGGGAGGGCAAGAGTGTATGTATGTCTGTCTGTCTGTATGTATGTAAGTAAGAAAGTAAGTACGTAGGTAGGTGTGCGTGTGTGTGTGTGTGTTTTTATGTATCTACGTGGGTAGGCAGGTATGTACGAAGCTGTGCATGCATGTAGGTAGGTATTGGTGTATGTATCTAGGTCCAGGTAGGATCTATGTATGTATGAATGCATGTGTACGTGTATATATGAAGGTAGGCATGTAAGTAGGTAGGTTGGTAAGAATGGATGTAAGTAGGCATGTATGTCTATATGTAGGCATGTATGTATGTAGGTAGGCAGGTATGTATGTAGGTAGGAATGTATGTAGGTAGGTATGCATATATGTGTCTTTGTGTGGCCGGCGGACTGGATCATATATATATATATACACATATTTCTACAATATTCCCATTTTTGTTATCTTAAAAATCTGATGCTTCATCCCTTCCCATTTTTCAATCCGCCATTCAGCGGCCTCAGTAGCCTTGCATGGCCGCCAGCACGAGGCTCTGCACGATGGAAGACACCGGGGAACATCGCAAGACCAGTTCCGCAAAGTAGGCGCCCGCAGCGTGCTCCAGCTTGATAGGCTGGCGAAAAATCCTGAGATTTTTCGGTTTTTCAATCTGAAGAGTTGAAATATTGTTAAAAAAAACAAAACGAAGTGTTGGTGTTGATCTAAATGTGGATCGTTGATGCGAGTTTTGAAAGAAAGGAACCAGGATGAACCAGGTAATTTTTGGGGTGGGGGGCCAATCAGCAAGTGGGTAAGAACCATAGTATAAGCCAGATATATGTGGGATCTTGGCAATCACATACTAACTGGGATGCACACCCAAACAGATCTGTGATTTAAGTTTGATTCTTTCTAGATCCTGAGTAGATGAAGAACCAAGATTCGATCTTGACTTCTTGAAATGGGGATACCAAATTTTCCAAGATTAGATCGTTTTAGTATTGAAACCCATGGTGACTTGGGATCCCCCATTCCGAGACCGCAAAAAATGAAAAACAAAAAATTGCAGAACACAAGCATGTAGAAAAGGATAGTAAATATAGAATTATGTACAAGGTGGGCCCGGTTATCTGTGTTGGTCTGGCCCCATAGATACATCTACCATAAAAAGTTATTGGACGCCAGCTGTCTGCCCCACCTTGGAGCTGGTTCAATGATGGTATTTGCGATCTTCAAACTCAAGAAAAATCGCATCTATGTAGGTATGTATGTATGTATGTATGTATGTAATTAATGTATATATGTATGTATGTATGTCTGTAATTAATGTATATATGTATGTATGTATGTATGTATGTACGTACGTACGTATGTATGTATGTATGTAATTAATGTATATATGTATGTATGTATGTATGTATGTATGTATGTAATTAATGTATTAATGTATATATGTATGTATGTATGTATGTATGTATGTATGTATGTATGTATATATGTATGTATGTATGTATGTAATTAATGTATATGTATGTATGTAATTAATGTATATGTATGTATGTATGTATGTATGTATGTATGTATGTAATTAATGTATATGTATGTATGTATGTATGTAATTATGTAATTAATGTATATATGTATGTATGTATGTATGTAATTAATGTATGTATGTATGTATGTATGTAATTAATGTATGTATGTATGTATGTAATTAATGTATATATGTATGTATGTATGTATGTATGTATGTATGTAATTAATGTATATGTATGTATGTATGTATGTATGTAATTAATGTATATGTATGTATGTATGTAATTAATGTATATGTATGTATGTATGTATGTAATTAATGTATATATGTATGTATGTATGTATGTATGTAATTAATGTATATATGTATTTATGTATGTATGTATGTATGTATGTATGTATGTATGTATGTATGTAATGTATATATGTATGTATGTATGTATGTAATTAATGTATATATGTATGTATGTATGTATGTATGTATGTAATTAATGTATGTATGTATGTATGTATGTATGTAATTAATATATATATATGTACATATGTATACTGATGTGTATATATATATATCAATGTATGTATATATACATATGTATATGTATGTGTATATATATATATATGTATGTATGTAAATGTATATGTATATATATATGTATATATATGTATATGTATATATATATGTGTCTATATATATATGAATGCGCGTGTGTGTCGCCTTTATTGTATACCCACAAGTTGTTTATGTTGTATACACACAATTTCTTTGCCTAGCTTTGTTGTTTATACTGTCCTTGTTGGGATGGATCACCAGCATCACTAACAGTTCGTCATGTGCCTGCGAGGTGCTGCAACGTGGCAATCTTTGGGGGCCCCATGGTAACTCCAACAAGATGGTAACTCCAACATGCCCCAAGCTCATGATCAGTAAGAACCTACAACCACCTTTTTAATCCTTTTTAGCTTTTCAGTACGGTGAGACCCAGAACTTTTTGGAAGCCACGTCCCACCTCGAGACCTCGAGACCTCTCCCATTCGTAGGACTGATTTTTCAATGGGCCCGATAGGGTGAACTCACTATGGTTAGCAGCACTGAAAGCCGTGGCGCCAGCTAAGGGGCCACGATTTTCTTTCGGTCCATAGCTAAACACAACTCTTGCCGTGAAATCCCCAAATCCACTCCTTCATCATATGTCTGATTTAAACAGCTGGGGCATCCCCGAACTTTGGCAAAGCCATGCAAGTGCCATGGTCAAAACATCCCTATACCTGAAGGAAATGGTGCTATGGCAAGGCCCCAATATGATTATATTATCTACCATAAAACGTATGGAAAGAAACAGCACAAAGGCTGGTTCACGGCAATTCCCAATTCATGGATTGTGATAGTCCCAATTTCTGTTGGGTACAGAAATAAAAACCCGTATATCATCATAAACCATAATTAATCAACAATATCCCACGATATCCCCCTTTCCCACCCTTTTTTAAAACCAATATGGAGGTTTCCTGAAATGGAGGTACCCCTGAAACCGTCCATTTGGGGATACCCCCATTTACAGTATGGAAACCCCAATATGTTTGATGCTTAAGACTCCCTATCAATGATGGAAAACCGCCATCTCATCTTCTGACCACAAAGAAATCCTGACCAAGCATCATGCTTCCTGAGTTGTACAAGACCTCCAGCCCTCGGTGTAGCTACGGCCACGTGTGGGGATGTTATGTTTTTTGGAACGGCAGGCTAAAAGAGAATATCCTGATGATTGGGTCAACTTAAGATCTAGTTCCACCACTATATACTACTGTGTATGCATGCATGCATGCATGCATGCATGTATGCATGTATGCATGTATGCATGTATGCATGTATGCATGTATGTATGTGTGTATGTATATATATATATGATACCCTGATATTCTGCATGCAGCCACATTCAAATTTCACTTATTCACCTGCTTCCACATTATCCAATGCAATCACTCGAATTACACCATCTGCTACTGTTTGTTCCAAAATCCTCATCACAAAGTCATTGTCTTCCATGTGTTTCAACTACAGTTTAAAATGTGTTCCATTGTTGTTCAGTTTTCCAGTCGGATTAGCAAATTCCTCAAAAGTATACCTCAACTGGGATGCTTAGATTCACCTAAATTTCCGAGGGGAAGACCACCATTTTTGTCGTACCCTTAAACAAACCATTGACCTATCATTCACCAGTTCTCATCCAAATATTCCATGTTTTCCTATGTTGTATTTTTGTTTTTTATCATCAACTAGCCAAAACCTGGCCAATACTTACACAAATGTCCATCTGGCGTTGTTTGAAAATAGGATAAGACAATTTCCAACGTACTAAAACACCAATTTCCACAATAAAATTGCAATACCATGGGGCGCATGTTCAGTTGACTACATATCCCATTATATTCCCATTGAATGTCTAGCATACCGCCATGTTTGTTCTTTATATTATATCACCATTTTCCCGTAGATAGTCCCCAAAAAAATGTTGATGGTCGCAGTTCCCACTATATTCCACGTAAACCATGTTTTTCCTGGTTAAATCATGTTGAATCCCCTAATTTTTCTGCTGAAATCATATTGCTACCCAACTATATCCCCATCAAATCCCCAGTAGTGCTAATTATAGCATCATAAAAATCATGTTTTTTGTTGAAAACCAAACTGTTTGGGTTAAATCCCCAATTTTGCAATTTACATCCCAATGTTTCATGGTGAAAACCGAATTCTTCATGGTTAAGTCACCATTTTCTATGGTCAACTCACCATTGTTCATGGTTATTTTTTCAATGTAAAGGACGGCTCACGTTGGAGGGCAATGGTTCTAAGAAGGTTAAAGGAACCTTGCAGGGTGAGCAGGTGAACCGTCCATGCCTTGGTCTTGTCCCAAAGTCACCATGGGTGTCGATACTATGTCATGGTCATCCATGACTTGGATGATGCAAGGGGGGGTACCCCCATGACTTTGGAAACCTCTAAATAATTTAAGATAGCATCTCATCATAATAGTAGATATGGGATGGATACGATAGACTATGATAAATGACCACCATGTTGTATGGTCAAATCACCATCGCTCATGGAAGTTCATGGTGGAAAATATTCAAATGTCATCATTTCAACGAATATCATATATATATATATACATGTGTATACATATTTTTATATATACATATAAATACATGTGTGTTAAATATGTATATATATATATATGCATGCAAATATGCATCAATATATATATATGTAAATATGTATACATATATGTGCATAATGTGTTTACAAATATATACACAAAAATATGTGTATATATGAATAAAACTTTTGAACACATACATACATGCATTTACATAGTTACATCTTTTTTAGTACTTGCACAAAGAGGTATACATATAACTACATGTATATACATAAGTATATATATACATATCAAAAAATATCAATATATAAATATTGATACATTTACATCTATACATGTATATAAATATTGATATTTAAATGTAAATATACGTAGATATTTAGATATTCATGTATACATATACATATATAGATATATATATTGGCATGTATTGCATATCTTTAAAAACAACATAATTGAAAAGTTAAGTTAAAATAAATTAAAATATATATATTTGTTTTACACATATACATTTATTTACATAAATATGTTTTACATATTTATATATATATATATACATATGTATTTACATATACACATACTATAAAACCTAGTTATCATGTAAGGACACCTGCATGTCTATTCCCAAGGCACGGCGATCCAGCTCCGCTTGCACCACGCCATGGCCGCAATCCACGTTGGCGCCTAAGGCCGTGATGTACTTCTCCGGGATGTCTAACCTGGGAGCTTCGAAGTTTTTTTTTGGGCAGAGGAAGGGTGAAACCAAGCATTTTGTAGGGAGATAAAGGGAAATCTATATAGAGTTTTAACATATATATATATAGCACAAATTTAGAGAGAGTTAGATTGAGTTAGATATATAGTTATATAGTGTCTGGGAAATATATTCAAGTGTCCATGTTGATCGGTTCTTTTCATGTCTTATTTTGTGTATATTATATGTATATATATAATATAGAATATATATATAAGCAACAAATATTGGTAGTTCACAAGAACACGGATGTACACGGATGTATATATCCAATGTTTTCATCTAATGGGAAAGAGTTAATGATGCATAAATGTTCATATGATCTTGCCAGTAACAAAAAGAAACCAGGATTTTAAACAAATATCAATGTGACAAATCCGGGTTCAAAAAGGGTATGTTGGAGGATTGAACCAACCACAATGATGAGATCGTGGTGACATGATGGGGATTTTGCCAGCCAAATTGGGAATTGAAGTGAACAAGGTGTGTGTATGTGTGCGCATGACAATCAAAACGTTGATTCTACACGATTCTACCAAGAAATCCGCCGGCCTGCCGCCGTGTCTGATTGGAAGGTGTTGCTCTTGTTTCTGTGCTTGGCTTGTACTTGTTCCTTTGTTCTCTTGCTCCGCGTTTTTGCTTCGTCTGAATCAAGGTCACCCCCTCCCTCCTCCAAGTACTACTGCTACTACTACTGCTGCTGCTACTACTACTACTACTACGACGACGACGACCACGACCACGACCACGACCACGACCACGACCACGACCACGACCACGACCACGACCACGACGACGACAATGACTACTACGGCTACTATGACTACTATTATGACTACTACGACCACCACCGCCACCACCACCACCACTTCTACTCCTACACCTACGCGTACTCCTACGGCTACTCCGACGCCTACTCCGACTCCTCTACTCCGACTCCTCTACTCCTCTACTCCTCTACTCCTTCCTCCCTTCTTCCACAAGTACTACACTGGTAGTGCCGGTAGCTAATGATATTGCCTACAGCATTTCCGTCGCCTACAGGTACTCGTCACAGGGCGCACACGGTACTGATCGACCAGTACACGGCTCTGTCTTCGTCTCTTCTTCTCTCAGGCTTCCACCTAGCGTGGAGGTCAACCTCCCTTGGGGCAATCTCTCTCCCGTCTCCTTCCATGCAGCGGTCTGCTGTCAAGCCAGAGGCTCATACATAGTACCTGGCGCATCCCTGTGTGCATTCTGCAGGGTAGTTGTGCCCACTTAACCGTTTACAAACACAGCCTTATACTACAAAATGCTGCTTGAATCTGAACCAACCCCCCTGCTACAAAATGTTTTTGGGGTTTTTGATGGTGGATCAAAAGCCAATGTGGGTCACTACAAAATGGTTACGGAAACGGGTTGCAGTGAAAAATCATGATTCTCTACTAAATGGTTTCTGGAAATTTCACTCTAAATCTTTGGTTTACTTTCCGGGGCCCAGGTCATAGCGACCTATTAATGGAAAGTAATCCCCATTTAATCAACACTAACCATATTATACTATATTATACTCCCATCATTGTACGTATAGATAGTCCCCTTTAAAATCGTTCACACCCAAACAACTTTTATGGGAACACCTCTTTTTGTAGTAACAAATGGTTTGCTCCTTTTTGTAGCAAGGGACATTTTAGCCAGATATGGGCTTTATGGGTGGGATAGTTATAATGGGAAGACCTCGTATAAAATTATTTCAGTGGCATATTCAATGAATTTTTACCAAAAACTTCCTCAAAAGACGACATGGGAAAATACGATGGCCAAGCATGTCCGGCCATCGTACTTTCCCATATGGTATATTGGCGGTACAATAAGCCAAAACACCATTTATATAATCATCACGGACCTATTAATGGAAAGTAATCCCCATTTAATGGCTCCTGTTTTGATGGCGCCATTGGATGGCTTAGAAAATAAAGCCTCCTGTTGCTAGAGCGAGGTTCTTTCCCACATTTCGACGTTTGATGATGCGCGCGGGCCGAGCATGACTGGCAGAAGATGGCTATAGGGTTTCCTGTATGACCCAACGCATCCCAAGATAAATCACTGCAAAATGCATTTCCGATTTTCAAGTGCTAAATGAAACGCTGCTGCAAGATGCAGCGCACGCCCTCTTACTACAAAAACTGGTGCACGACTCCTTTTTTTTTGCTTGAATTCTCCACGAATCAGAGAATGGTACCCAGCACGCGTTCACCCTTTTAGTAGTGGAAATGGTAAGGGGGATCCTGGCGCTACTTTGCCGGGGGCGGTACTAATCGGTCAATAGGTTGTTACAGCAAACCTTGCTACACAAGCCACTTCCTTTTTATGGCTTTGTCTTCGTCTTCCTTTCTTATTCTTATTCTTCTTCTTCTTCTTCTCCTTCTTTTCTCTTCTGCTCTCTCGCGGGCTTCCACCTAGAATGCAGATCAAACTCCCTTGGGGCCACCTCTCTATGGCCGGCGGGCTTGCCGAAGGCAATTAAATAAAGGAAATTAGTGCGTCTAAACTTGGGGATTCGCTACCATGTCCTGGCCGTTCAAATGGAACAAGTATCATGGGGAGTCCAAGTTCGTGCGGAAGTAGACAAAACTACTGACCGCAAAAAAATGAATCAGTAATACTGAAAATATACAAAGGTAATCCCCCCCAAGAAAAAAGGTGCTAAGTGAATACCAGCTTTACCTGCTCCATGACCTTTTTTGGTCAAAATCCACATTTCCCTTCTGTGTCCTTCTTTGTCTATAAACCGTCCCACCCCAACAGAAGAATGAATAAAATTAAGTTTCTGCTTGAAAGTATTGAGACTGGCAGACACTGAAAAAACATCTCTATGAAACCTTTTTGCCCAATCCCCCTGCCCCCGGAACAAAAATCCCATGATTGCTGATCCTCTTGGTAAATATCACCGTTTGTGTTGGTTGAATCAACATGGTTCACGAAAACATAAGTAATCAACATGGTTCAACTGCACAAATAGTGCTATGTCTCAAAAGTGGTATCCAACATGGTTTGCGCGTTGCCTCCCCCTTATTCAATGGCCATATGTACATATATCCATACATTTCAAGCAAGGAGACAAACTCGTATCACCCGCGGTAATCAAAAATGGCACTAGAAAGCTGCAACTTAGTTGGATGATTTTCCCACGAAAATGACAATCATTCTGGTGATTTCGAGACAAACCAAAAGTTGGTCCTCAAACCCACATACCCTGAGTTAAACTAACATAGACGTGAAAACCCATGTTTTCCCTCGGAAAAGGAGCTACAAATAGTAGGTTTTCCGGTATCCTCCATGGCTTGAAACATACCCAACTGAGCAATGTGAAAGAAAGCACTCCGTCATCCCTTGACTATGATTGGTTGAGGTCGTGATTCTCATAAGATCTAGTGTTGTTCAACTATATAATCTGCTGTTCGCTGTTTAACCCCATTACCTCCCATTCCAATGGTTGTTTTAATCGATCTTCTCCGGGCAGCGGGAGAACTGCCTTCAAATGAGCCATGTCCTGGCAGTTCTGGACCGAGGTCTCAACTTTCCATGGTGAGGAACATGTTTTTTTGAAAACTGTAATGCGCGTGGTAAAACTGTAGAAACCGGGAAGACTTGTTTTTTGGTAAGAATCTGTAAGAATCTGTAAGAATCTGTAAGAACAAACGATTGATGGGGCTAAACCCCTTGGGACATGATAATCATTGCCGACCATAGTAGGTACGCAATGGGGAGATACTCCGCAAACCATTGATGACTGGATGCACCCACATCAAACAATTAAAAAATTGAGGTCCCAAGTCCCAAGCACATCCATGCCATGTCAAATCTGTGAGTAGATAGATGAAACCTCTTCAGTTACAACTATTTTGTCTAGCCCGTGGCGAAATACACAACAAACACCGGGGTTTAGTTTATTGTATATGGGTTCCTTGCAAGCTCGCGAAGTGACAAAGTCACGCGCACATCGGGCTGAAAACAACAAATTTATCTAAGTCCAAGTGAAAACAAATTCCCAATTTTTGCTGTCGCGGTCCCAAGGGATCAAAAACGATTATTAAATTTCATAGATGGATAGCGCCACTTCATCCTGTTGCTTTGTTGAAGATCCCAATGAATGCCTCTCCAATTTTGAAATTAATTCGATTTAACCCCCGTCATTTTTTGTTTTATCAGAACAAGCCACTTACTACTTTTGATGGTTGACTGACTTGTAGGGGTTCACCTGACAATTTGGTGCCAAACAAGCACTGCAATATATGAACTTGTCAGACAGTGTTAGTAGTTCAGCACCTGTTTCCGATATATGGACAAGACCGGTCATGTGACAGAAACTGATCACAAGAAGTTTGGGGTTTTGGCATGACCAACTATATACTTGTGCAGCCTGTGAGAGGGCCGCCCATGCCCAAAAAGAAGATAATTCAGCAACAACAGATTGTGTATAGTCTACAGCTACATGGATGGGAAACCCAAACGACATGAAATTTCATGAAAATTTGTGATAACATTACGTTGCACATGGCTGCACAGGGCATGCAAGCCAGCCCCCAATTCCTGAGATGACGTCATGTCTACAAGCTTGCAGGGGCCATCTTGGGTTCCCGCTCCCCTAGCAGAATGATGGGATTGACCTACGCCTCCAGTTTTCACTGCCCACGCTTGAATGATCAAATCTATTGGGGGACCATCAAGCTGCGCCTAGTCGCCTCAGAAACAAGATGGACGCGTCACACAATAGCTGGAATGGTAGCTGGGACTCGCAAATCGTAAAGGAAGTGGCTTTATTCTGTGACCGTCTGTTTTTTTAAAAAGGGCGAGAGGTATCTTCAAGCTGCTTGCTACCTTCAGGTATCCTCTTAATAGAGCTTGCGCCAAAAGACGCTGCTTATCCAAGAGCTGCTTACCCCTTCTATATTCATTGCTGCCGCAAGGGCGATGCAACAGCCAAGCATTCCAGTCCTGGTCGCGTCGTCCTGCTAAGCACGTGGTCTGACTTCATTAAAACGGCATAGTGCACATGGCGCGGTTTTCGGGTGCAGTTTCGAAAACATCGTAGCATATGTGTGCTGATTCCCGGTGCAGCGGTAATGTCGAGTGTGAAACCAGAATCGTTGTGGCCGAAGAGATATCCAGGTGTCCAACCCTTTCAGCCACATGCTCAGCTGGAAGTTGTAAGAATCAGACATGTGAAAGACAATACCCTGCTTGTAGTAAGCATCTCCCAAACCGAACACCCTGGACACCCTCATTTTTATATACACACACTCACACGCATAAACATCATATGTATTTACACATAATATGTACATGACGTGGATGTGTTTAACGTATATCAGATGTCCTTCGCTAAATATGTGAATACACATCCAATATTTTCATCTGTGCTCTATGTAATATATATATAAATGAATGTATATCAGATACATGAAAACATCTCCCCACTCAATTCTTTCTAATATTGGCTGTGTTTAAAGGAACGGGTCTGGATCGATCCGCCGTGATCCATACCCACGGATGGGTCTGGATCACCCGCGTTTGACATGAATTGGGGGTGCGGACCGCCTGTGAAATTCACCCCCTCATCTGTACCTTCAATTTTGAGACGCTGCCATACATAAAATTCCGTTCGTTTTAACAGATGGATGTGAATATATGTGTGTATATATATATATGTACAAAAAGAGAGAGGGGGAGAGAGAGAGAGAGAGAGACTATGTATATTTGGAAATATACATATATATATGTGAATATTATGTATGCATAAATGAATGTAAACATAAATATATATGTGAACATGTATGCATGCATGCATGCATACATTACATTACATTACATTATATTACATTACATTACATTGCATTTCATCACATTACATTACATTGCATTACATTACATTGATACATACATACAAACATACATTACATTACATTACATTACATAACGTAACGTAACGTAACGTAACATAACATAACATACATACATACATACATATGCTTTTACATTTGTAAAATTAAATGACTATAAATATATATTTATATATATATTTACATATGTGTGATTAAATGACTATATACATATGAATATAATATGTATTAATAATGCGTATATATATATACGTGTGTGTGTGTGAAAGTACATATATACATATTTAAAACCATAAACACATAACCAAACAAACATAAATATACTTAATATTAGACATATACGGTCCTGTCCTTGCGCCCTCCTGGTGCCCTGCCCCTACCCTCCAGCCAACCCATCCCAAACCATGCCCGGTACAACTCTAATCTTGCCTGCTTATACTCGTGATACTTCCTGCGCTGCTATATAAGATACCTAGGTACCAAATACTGTACTATCTTGCATATGACCTGCAAACCTCTATACCCTAAAATTTCCATGTGTATATCTATATACACCTATTGTTTAACCCATCGCATGCCTATATGCAACATATATATTTATATATCATATCGCACCTGATGACACTACATAACTAGTATGTATACATATTCATTTACCTATATACCCAAAACTACACACCTAACACTATATACCATATACCATACGCCTACACAAGTGACATACATGCTATGCCAGTATACCTATATTTACACCTAACACACATACAAACTCCATATATACAAATATACCTAACATATAATATATATATATATATACTCTATAAACATATTTATACAAAACATAATCAGCACAAAATAAAACACACTTAGCACACCCAACACACCTAACGCATATCACACTTAACACCTATATGTGTATATATATATACATCACGCAACGTATACAAAATATATGCAAACATATCCATACAGTATATGTACATACACCATTTGAACGGTATATGCCATGTATAAAAAACACCTAACAGTACATGTATACCTAACACTGCATGTATACCACATATACCTAACGCCACTTTATACCTACATACCTACATACATATCACTACTATATACTACTATGTACAAAATACATAACACTACATACCTACTATATCCTAATATACCCAAATATATCCTAGTATATACCCTACATAACCAAATACATTCCTAATACATACCCATTTGCATGCCAATACTGTAACAATTTTGGAGTACCACCCCCGACCATGTGCCACAGCCACTCCCATTGCTTCTTCCCTCTTGCCCCTCCTCCACCGGCGTCGCGAGCCCTGTCTCCAGCCCGGTCAGCAGCACATCGCAGCCACCGTCGCAGAGCACCAGGACATCGGCCAGCGCTGTCGCCGGCGCCTTCGCGTCGAGCAATCCCAAGGCGGAAGCGATGGAGCGCCAGACACTTCCACCTGCTGAAGGGTTGAGGACAAAAAAATGCGAAAACCAAGGAGAAAAATGATGATTTCACGGTGGTTATAGCTGGCTATAGTTGATAGGGGCTGTACACCAACTTATAACTTGTTGAAAAGCCTTTGGGGTGACTAGTGGTGAATTTAATAGTGGTTCATGATGGTTCATAGTGGTTCATAGTGGTTCATAGTGGTTCATAGTTGTCGTGGAATCGGATTTCGTGGGATATTAGAATGACAACCCTGAATTTAAGTAAGCCACTGTTGTTTCTTTCGAGGTGGAAGTCCCTAAATTGTGACCACGCAATCAAATAACCTAGGGGGTTATTGATGCAAGGGTTGACATTATCAGTTACCATTTAAAAAAACACTTGGATTTACCCATGACTTTACAACAGTTTATCTTATAATAACCTACATGATTTGCTACGATTTACAATAAAACCCCTTACCAGTAGAGCCCGGGCAAGCCGGCTGACAGAAGTTTCGAAAGGGGAGAAGCCTGTAAAGAAAAGGGAGAGCCTATAGGAACGACACGGCCGTTGACCGCGTCATCTCTTGGAACTGTTTCTCCTTGACGCTTCTTTCTCTTGACATCCATGTCCGATGATGCCACATTCTCTTGATCCGCTTTGCCCTTGACATCTCTGAATCTTGACAGCCCTTCCTGTTGCCTGCTGTTTGTCTGGACGAAAAAACATACAAGATCAGCGCCGCGCTGACAATTGGGACCACTCGAGCGCAAAACGAACGAAAGCCACACCCGTCGTACAAACAAGGTTCCCCACATCGACACTGGGACACACTGATGTGATGCGGTGATGTGATGCAGTGATGTGATGAGGTGATGTGGTGATGTGGTGATGCTGGTCATGTGGTGATGTGGTGATGTCATGATGTGGTGATGCGGTGATGATGTGGAGATGGGTGATGCGGTGACGGGGTGATGTGGTGATGTGGTGACGTGGTGATGGGGTGATGTGGCGATGTGGTGATGTGGTGATGGTGGTGATTTGTGGTGATGATGGTGATTGTGATGATGTTGGTGATTGCGGTGATGGTGGTGATTGTGATGATGGTGGTGATTGTGGTGATGGTGGTGATTGTGATGATGGTGGTGATTGTGGTGATTGTGGTGATGGTGGTGATTGACGTTCTTCACTTTTTGAAATTTCGTAAAGCGGAGTTTAGACTTCTAAACTTCCTTTGATAATAACCATCATCAAGCATCATGTAGTACAGTTTACTACAGTGTACCGAATTAAGCATCGTTAACCTATTGGTTGCTTAATGGGGGTTACCCCTTTATTCATCAATCAATGGGAAAACGACATCAATGTGGACAGAGGAGGCAGCTCTGGCTGAAGTTATCCGGTGGCATCCGGCCTGTGGGGGATCGTGCTGTTGTTTTAAGGGAGGTATTTGCTAACAACCAAAGAATATGGCTTCCTGGAACCTTCTCCGGAACCTTCTCCGGAACCCTGTTGAACCTGACTGGCTCTGCACCAAAGCCTCCCAGACCTTCTCCGGAACCTTCTCCGAAACCTTCTCCGGAACCCTGTTGAACCTGACCTGGCTCTGCACCAAAGCCTTCCAGACCTTCTCCGGAACCTTCTCCGGAACCTTCTCCGGAACCTTCTCCGGAACCCTGTTGAACCTGACCTGGCTCTGCACCAAAGCCTCCCAGACCTTCTCCGGAACCTTCTCCGAAACCTTCTCCGAAACCGGAACCCTGTTGAACCTGACCTGGTGGCACCCAGACCTTCTCCAGAACCTTCTCCGGAACCTTCTCCAGAACCTTCTCCGGAACCCTGTTGAACGTGGCCTGGCTCTGCACCAAAGCCTCCCAGACCTTCTCCGGAACCTTCGGAACCTCGTTGACCCTGACCCGGCGCCAGCACCAGTGCACACCAGAGCTATTCTGGGCTGAAGACTCCATTAGCTTACGCTGTTGGGAAAAAACCCGCTGGTTTGTTTGAAGAGTTTGCGCACTGGAAAATCACCATGTTTAAGAGTTAAATCATTTATAAATTGGCGATGTTTAATAGCCAACTGTTGAATCACCAGGGACTCAAGAACTTGACCCCCGACGGTCCCGACGATAGACATGGCTGGTGATGGTGCTTCCGTCAATAGGACCCAGCATATCCCATCATACCCCATATCCCATCAGAACCATTGGAATATTCCATGTGCTAAAGAGTAAAAGGGTGAATATCCCATTTAGTTGAATCTCCCCGTTTTTGTCCCAGAAACATCTACGCAACATCGAACTCGCAACTCGATGTCCCAAAGGCGCCTTGTCCTAGCTCCATTTGCAATGCTGCCTGGTAGCCCTCTGTATACCTGAAACGAAATTGGGCAAGAAACTCGCCCCAATGATTTGTTCAGCAAGTCAGAACGGTAAAGAAGTGGGATTTTGTTGTAATGATGGGATACAATAAATGCATATATATAATTAAATATATATATATTTCATTATCTTATATATGAGTAGCCGACAAAATTGTTTGTTAAATATAATGCCATGCACAAATTAGGGTCGTCCCCTAGCGGTTGTGAGGAAGTCCAGTACTCCCGGAGGTATCACAAATGGGGTGTTGGTATAGGGTCCTCCCCTATCGGTTTTGAAGGTTTTGTGCAAGCTTAGAAAGGCCAAGGCGAAGCAAGACAAATTTTGTATTAGAACAATTTTGTCGCTTACTCATATGTATGCAGCAATCTATTTGTTTGTATAATACACCTATATTGTAATATGATATGGGCTTGTCCACAAATGGGGGATGGACCCCATTTCATGGCATTTCAGAAGGCCATATTTACGCTAATTGCAGAAATGACACGTTTGGGGCCCTCCATGCCTGTTGCTGTGCATCATGCAATATTCACTTCTATACTTTGATGTTGTTTCAATTCCACCCTTTCCTATGCGGAAGCTTGAATAAAGCCCTGCAACCCTTATGTTTCATCCCCCTCCAGCCCTGTGTTAAGCATGGCCACGGGCCCAAGGTCCGGCCGAGCGTCTCTTGAATGGTCGCATGATGCGACAAGGTGTAGATGGGCACCTCAGGATGCTCTTGATGGGCAGCCTTTTGGACCACGCTTTAGCCTCGTTCCTTTTTGGGATTTTGGCTTGAGGGATCTTGAGCTCTTTCTTTCTAGCTCATGACCTTTCTCAGCTTTAGTTTGCAGAGGCCTTGCCTTTATCAGGAGTATCAGGGCCCCTTTTTTCCGCCTGTGGGGAGGGATTGCTTTTTTCTTGCCTGTTGGGTGCAGTTTTTCTTCCTCTCCACTGGCTGTCCTTTCCACCCCACGCTCAGCTTTGCGGGAAAGTCCATGGGAAAAGAATGGAAAATCCGTGGGAAAGTCGAGAAAGCCTGTATGGTTTTTATCCCCAAACAAGGGGGGGCCTGAGAACCCAAAAGCAAAACGACAGCAAACAAATTTGAGTAATACTGATAATTGGTTTATTTCTTTTTCGCCTCTTGCCAGCTTCTTTTTAGAAGATGAACATTATGGACGCATTCACTGCAAATTTCATTTTTCCCCACCTGCCAGGTGAGGGTTGTTTGATTTTATCAAAGTTGTTCTCCTCGGCTAGCTGTCCTCCTCGTCCTCGTCCTCCTCCTCCTCCTCGTCCTCCGCCTTCTCCTCCTCCTCTGCCTCCTCCTCCAGTTTCTCCTCGATCATGTCTGCATCAACTTCCACCTCAACTTCCGCCTTGCCAACTCTTCGCCAAGCTCTTTGCCAACTTCCCAGCTCAGTGCACCGGTGGACCTCAACCTGGGACCAAACCAGCTCAGTGTGCACCGCTGGACCTCAACCTGGGGATCTGCCCAGCTCAGTGTGCACCGCTGGACCTCAACCTGGGACCTTCCCAGCTCAGTGTGCACCGCTGGACCTCAACCTGGGACCTTCCCAGCTCAGTGTGCACTGCTGGACCTCAACGGCCAGATAGAATACCAGAAGATATGCCAGATAGAGTGTTAGAAGATATGTCAGATAGAATGCCATAAGATATGCCAGAACATATAGCAGAAGATATGCCAGGTAGAATGCCAGAAGATATGCCAGATAGAATGCCAGAAGATATGCTAGATAAAATGCCAGAAGATATGCTAGATAGAATGCCAGAAGATTTGCCAGTAACAAAACGTATAAATATCATGGTGGGGATAACTCGAAGTAAAGTAATTTCAGCGCTGCGCGGAAACATTGAGTGACAGTGTGCAATAGCCAAGCAAGCTCATTTGAGCACGGTCATGCGACGGCGGCTGATTTCCAAATCAACCTCTCACCTCTCCTTTCCTTTCCCTTCCTTCCCTTCCTTTTCCGTCCTTTCCCTTCCTTTCCGTTCCTTTCCCTTCCTTTTCCGTCCTTTCCCTTTCTTTCCCTTTCTTTCCCTTCCTTTCCCTTTCTTTCTGTTCCTTTCCCGTCCTTTCCATTCCTTTCCCTTCCTTTCCCTTCCTGTCCCTTCCGTTCCCTTCCTTTCCCTTTCTTTCCCGAATGCGTAGCAAGGGTTCCCGTTGCCCAACCGTCCGCAACCACTCGCAACCGTCCGCGCGATTGCTATATGGCCGTGCCTCTGGTAAGTTCTCCAAAAGGGGTAATTTTTGCGTTTCGCGTGGCAGGCGTGGCACTTCGTGACATTCAGACGTGTTTTGTAACGTGTCGAAAGTCATTGTGTGTGGCAGGCGCAATACTTTTGCGACGTTTTCAGAAGATGCGTTGCAGTTTTCGTGGCAGGCGCAGCACTTTGGACGTGTCCATCGTCATTTTGCGTGGCAGGCGCAGCACTTTAGACGCGTAGTGTTGCGTGTTTTTACGAGGCGCATTGGCAGGGCTGCGTCAAGTGGCGACAAGATTCCGTGGCAGACGTGGCATTTTCTGAGATGTGCTGAAAATTGACGGAAGCCTCCCACGAAACATCGATTTTGAGGTAGCAAATTTAAAGGCTCGTACGAAAACTCGTGGGAAAATTTTGAAGCTACAAAGTGTGAAAATTGGAGGAAGTCTCGCACGAAAGGCTCGTTTTGATGCTCCCACATCTCTCGTCTCAAGTCTCTGGTTTTCCTGTGGCGTCGCCGTGTCTATGGGGGAAGCTGCAAAATCTCTCCTTTTCGAAGGTTTCCAAGCAGGTTGTCATGTCGTTTTGCGTGGCAGGGGTGGCACTTTACACTCTACACTCCCCACTCTACACTCCACACTGCACACTCTACACTCCACCACACCCTACACTTTGCACACTCCTCACTCCACACTTTACACTTTACACTCTACACGCCACACTCCACACTCGACACTTTCCACTCCACACTCTACACTCCACACTTTACACTCCACACGCCACACGCCTCACTCCACAATTTACACTTTACACTCCTCACACCACACTCTACAATTTACACTTTGCACTTTCCACTCCCCCTTCACACTCTACACTTTACACTCTACACTCCACAGTTTACACTTTGGACTCCACACTTTAAACTTTGCACTGCACACTTTACACTCCTACACACTCCACACTCTACACCCCACGCTCCACCACACTCCACACTCTACACCCCACACTCCACCACACTCCACCACACTCCACACTCTACACCCCACACTCCACCACACTCCACACTTTACACTCCACACTCCACAAACTACACTTTCCACTCCACACTCCACACTTTACACTCCACACTCCTCACTCCACAATTTACACTTTACACTCCTCACTCCTCACTCCACACTTTACACTTTGCACTTTGCACTCCTCACTCCACACTTTACACTCCACACTTTACTCTCCACACTCCGCACTCTACACTTTACGCTGTACACTTTACACTCTACACTCCACACTTTACATTTTCGACTCCTCACTCCACACTTTACATTTTACACTCCTCACTCCACTCCACACTCCGCACTCTACACTTTCCACTCCACACTTCACACTCTGCACTTTCCACTCCACACTCTACACTTTACACTCCATACTCTTCACTTTACATTTTTCACTCCACACTTTACATTTTACACTCCTCACTCCACGCTTTACACCCCACACTCCACACTTCCCACTTTACACACCACACTCTACACTTTACACTCCACACTTTACACTCCACACTCCTCACTTTATACTCCACACTCCACACTCTACAGTTTCCACTCCACACTCTACACTTTACACTCCTCACTCCTCACTCCACACTTTATACTTTACACGCCACACTTTACAGTTTGCACTTTACACTCCTCACTCAACACTTTACACTCCACACTTTACACTCCACACTCCACACTCTACACTTTACACTCTACACTTTACACTCTACACTCCACACTCCACACTTTACACTCCACGCTTTCCTCTCCACACTTTGGACTCCACACTTTACACTCCACACTTTACACTCCACACTTTTACGCTCCACACTCCACAGTCTACACTTTACACTCCACACTCTACACTCCACACTCCACACTTTACCCACTGCACACTCCACACTTTACACTCCACACTCCTCACTCCATACTTCCCACTTTACACTCCACACACTACACTTTACACTCCACACTCCACACTTTACACTCCACACGCCGCACTCTACACTTTACACTCTACACTCCACACTCTACACTGTCCACTCCACACTGCAGACTGGTAACAGGGGAAGTATGTATACACAAGACTGTTCAAATAAACTATTGCAGAAAATTGTTCTGAGTGACTGCATATCCATTTCGGGTTCGTGGGCTGCATCTTGTTCTTCTCCCCGCCTATTTCCAGCCACTCCGTTGCACCCACGCCGTCCGCAACCGTCCGCGCACTTCTCCGCACCCATTTCCCGTCCACAGCCGTCCGCGCAGCCAAGCTCGCTCATCTCCAGCGGCTTCTTCTCCCCATCCATTTCCAACCACTCCCTTGCACCCACGCCGTCCGCAGCCGTCCGCGCAATTCTCCCCACCCATTTGCCGTCCGCAGCCGTCCGCGCAGCCAAGCTCGCTCATCACCAGCGGCTTCTTCTCCCCACCCATTTCCAGCCACCCCCTTGCACCCACGCCGTCCGCAGCCGTCCACACAGTTCTCCGCACCCATTTGCCGTCCGCAGCCGTCCGCGCAGCCAAGGTCGCTCATCACCAGCGGCTTCTTCTCCCCACCCATTTCCAGCCACTCCGTTGCACCCGCGCCATCCGCAACCGTCCGCGCAATTCTCCGCACCCATTGCCCGTCCGCAGCCGTCCGCGCAGCCAAGCTCGCTCATCACCAGCGGCTTCTCCCCTACCCCCATTTCCAGCCACTCCCTTGCACCCACGCCGTCCGCAGCCGTTCGCGCAATTCTCCGCACCCATTTCCCGTCCGCAGCCGTCCGCGCAGCCAAGCTCGCTCATCACCAGCGCGATCCCCACCCATTTCCCGATTTCCCTTGCACCCACGCCGTCCGCAGCCGTCCGCGCAATTCTCCCCATCCATTTGCCGTCCGCAGCCGTCCGCGCAGCCAAGCTCGCTCATCACCAGCGGCTTCTTCTCTCCACCCATTTCCAGCCACTCCCTTGCACCCACGCCGTCCGCAGCCATCCGCGCAGTTCTCCGCACCCATTTGCCGTCCGCAGCCGTCCGCGCAGCCAAGCTCGCTCATCACCAGCGGCTTCTTCTCCCGAACCATTTCCAGCCACCCTTGCACCCACGCCGTCCGCAGCCGTCCGCGCAATTCTCCACACCCATTTGCCGTCCGCAGCCGCCGCGCAGCCAAGCTCGCTCATCACCAGCGGCTTCTTCTCCCCACACATTTCCAGCCACTCCCTTGCACGCAGCCGTCCGCACAATTCTCCGCAGCCATTTCCCGTCCGCAGCCGTCCGCGCAGCCAAGCTCGCTGATCTCCAGCGGCTTCTTCTCCCCACCCATTTCCAGCCACTCCCTGGCACCCACGCCGTCCGCAGGCGTCCGCGCAATTCTCTTCACCCATTTGCCGTCCGCAGCCGCCGCACAGCCAAGCTCGCTGATCTCCAGCGGCTTCTTCTCCCCACCCATTTCCAGCCACCCGCGGATCCGCACCCATTTGCCGTCGCCGTCCGCGCAGCCAAGGTCGCTCATCACCAGCGGCCGTTGCACCCAAGCCGTCCACGCAGTTCTCCGCACCCATTTGCCGTCCGCAGCCGTCCGCGCAGCCAAGGTCGCTCATCACCAGCGGCTTCTTCTCCCCACCCATTTCCAGCCACCCCCTTGCACCCACGCCGTCCGCAGCCGTCCGCGCAGTTCTCCGCACCCATTTGCCGTCCGCAGCCGTCCGCGCAGCCAAGGTCGCTCATCACCAGCGAAGCGGCTTCTTCTCCCCA